CGTTATATATCTGAGATAAGCGACTTCTTTTCGCAGAAATTCACTTTTGTCCAACTTTATTACTGAACGTCAGAGAAACTTGTTAACAGTGAAAAAAGTGCTAGATTTCAGAAAAGAGTTTTTGAATCTCTCTTCTCCTCTCTTTGCTCATTGGTCCAGCCGTAAACTTTTTTAATTTATGATTCGTAGTTATTCAAAATATTTCTTCATTTCCTGAGCAACTAGAATATTCAAAGTTGTTCACTTCGTTAATTTCGATGGGCTTGATAATGATTAGTTCAAATAGATCTATAATCAATTTCTCATTTGCTGAGTTTATCATTGTTGTTCAAGCTTTTCTATCATTAACCATAACGTATGCTGCTGGCATTTCCAAATCTTGAAATTATTTGTTGCTCCAATATTTCGAAACAAGTCGATTCCGATAAGTTCATTGTATTTAGGGTTCAAATAAAAAATGAAAAATTTTCAGCAAAAATCGTGTCTTCTGAAAATTTTTGATAAAGGTATAGTTTTGATAACATTGTGCGTGGAAATTTTGTGAGTTCCTTGATTGTGCTGCAGATAAAATGTGCAAGCCAAATTCGTACTGATAATTTTTTTTGAGCCGGTGTTTATCATGAATTTTAAATTGGTTTCATGAAAAAATATGTACAGTTTGGAAATGATCGTAGCGTTGATATCAACTGAGTCATCGATTTGTTCTGTTGAGAATTTTGAAAATTTTGGCATTCTTCTGGTTTATGCTGTGTTTATGGAAAAATCTTGTATAGTTGATCCTTTTCTGCTTGTTGTTGGCCGATTGAGTAGTATGAGGTCTCGACACAATGAATTATCATCTCTATGGTCGTCAACATTTTGTTGAAGTGATTTCCGAAGGTATGTCCAAGATATAATTTCTATTGCTCCGGTGATAATTTGTGCTCTCCCTGCCTATTTGTTTTTCATGCAGGATATTAAAAGCTTGTTGATGAAGGCTATTGTGTCTTCTCTTTTAGAAAACTGGTTTACTATAAGGTTACATGTTTCAATAAAATCAGCCAGTTAGTTCACCTTAAAATTTTGGGATGGCATTCAAATGATTTGTTTGAAAAGCGGTCATTCCGTCGGGTTGTTCTTGGTTGTTGTTTTCAGATAATTCGTTATGAAGATTGATATTCGAAATCAAATTAGCGAGATAATAAATTTCGGACATGTAATACGGGTATCAGTGATAATGATTAAATTGGAATAAATGAGCGATCAGTCTCATAAAATTTATGATATTTTGATTGGTCCAAATATTCCTCCAATAGTAACCCAAAAATTGTCAGTGGGAGATTGAACCAGAATCATTTCTACTTATCTACTCCAAAGGATTAGCACCAAATTGGTTATCTTTTTGGACCACTACTACCCTACGACTGCGCCAATAAGGTTGGAGCTTTCGAAATCCATTTTTAAAATATAACTTTCTCCAGAAAACTCAAGAGTTGAATTACAATTTTACAGGGTGATTCAAAAGTACTTTGACAAACTTCAGGAGGTGATTCTTCACAATATTCTAATATGAATTGTCCAAATAAATAAATGTCCGGAAACGCTTCGTTTCCAAGATACAGGATGTTGAAGTTTTATTTTTATTTTCGTTTTTTTCAAATAACTTTTGAAATACTGAACTTAATTAAACGAAACTTGGTAATAGGAGGTTTTTGAGGTGTCGAATTCGAACCT